AACTCTAGTTACATTCCCGACTGAAGAATAATTTAGCGTACCACCTGCCTTTAAGATCACGCCGGCAATAATGCGTGCAGGCATCCCGCTTATCCCTGTTTGTACTTGGAGCCGCAATTTGTGAATAATACCAAGTCGACGTCACTCTTTTTGGCTTCATCCGTCTTATGGCATCTCTACAGAAATCCTGCTGAAAAGCATGTGAGAAACAATGCCTAAAGTTCAACAAGGAGATGTTATCTAAGACGTCGGCACTCCCATTTTCAGCAGTCGAGCTTTTTTGTACAACAGAAAAACGCGTGAAATCTAGAGATGTCTTTGATTGGAGCTTGTCATGTTGAACCTTCACATTTTTTAATTCTTCTATCCTATAACGTCTTCATATTCAGCACTACTTGCTCAAGCACCACCGATTCGCTATCCACGAATAGGACTAACTGTTCGCTGTTGCAACACTGGTGCGGTGTTTTTCTTTCGGCTTATTTCTTATCTTTATCATTTCGATACGTTACGTCAATTTTCCTGCTGGATACATCACCATTGTTTCATTGTCGGTCTTACGATATGGCGGCTGTTCCAGAAACTACTAGTCGCCCGGCGCCCCAGCCATTCAAGACAAAGATGGATGTCTGTCCAGCACCTATAAAGGAGAAGTATGAACGACTGCCAACGTTTGCCGTTCCTGAGCACTATGATATTAAAATTGTGCCCAATATGGAAACGTACGTTTAATTTTCTATGTAATTCACGCTTTCCCTGGCTGCGCTCATAGTTTGCGAATTGAAAGATTAGGATAGTACGCGACAATTGAGACAATATGTATCGGTAGGGGTATTAAGATAGCGGTATGGTAGTATATTCCGTTAAAAGGGTTAGATACGTATCGATTGAAATAGATGAGGGACGCTCATGTCCTTGAGTAGGGGGAGGGGGGACATCTAAGTGCGCGAGCCAATTACTGTGCTTGGGACGAAGCCTTGGCGACGGGAAGGGGTTCTAGAGAGAAATGGTTCTCCCTTCATTGCCATCTTTTGAATGTCCCCCTAAGAACATGAGCGTTCGGTGAAGAGTAGTGTACGATATCAGGACGGTAGGATTGTACCGAGTGGCAGGATTAGGATAGTAGTAGATTAGGATAGTGCGCTGACAAGATTAGATATGTATTGATCTATTCGCTTGAAGTCGCCCAATCTACTACTCTCCAGCGATTCCAATCGATACGTATCTAATCTTTTCAGCGGAATATCTCACTACTATCCCAAATTCCTATCGCCTACTTCCCTAATCGGCGCTAGTGTCATCGGGTAGTGCAGACTGTGGACTGGTCCTGGGGAGGAGAGGAAGGATTTGGAGTAAAATGGAATCGCTTAAAGCAACAGTTCAGGAACGGTTTCGCGGGAAAAAACCACCAATAATGAAGTTGTAGATGAAAACCAGACGATTAATGTATGAAAAACTGGAAAAAAACGTCGGGGAGGGTCTTAGACAGGTACTCTCCCTCTGCCGCTCAGCAATGGATAAAGACGCACGTTGGACGAGTTGTCTGAACGTGCCCGCTGTAAACGCGCTCCAAAGGCGGTACCGACCCGGGTGGGGGGGACACGGTTTGTGTGGCGAGGAAGTCAGAGTGTTTTCCCTGTGGTCCCAAAACGAGCACGATTGCCGACGCGTCCAATGACGGCCGGCAAGGGGGCGGGATTGGGGAAATCCCCAAGAACACCCATGTTTGAGGGACTTTCCACCCTGTTTTTGAGTTTCTGAGGTAAGTTCGTTTATTATTTCCACTGCATATGTTCTTCACTAGGGCTCGTGTATCCCTCAGTAGTAGTGGCATTGAAATTTTCGGACCCTCCCTGAACTGTTGCTTTAAATACCGCGTCAGGACCCGCATAGCATGTCTCGGAAACACAGAAGATTAAGAGGGGTTTCGATGCTCAATACTCTAGCGTTGATTCGAATAGGCGTCAGCAGCGAAAGACGGGTAGACAGTAGCGCGGAAGGGGGGGGTAAAGAGGGACAGGCATCGCGCCTAATAATTGCCCCGGTATCTATCTCCTTGTCTCACCATAAGTTCCGATGGGTACTCGAATTGCGTACACACACCTCCTCTCCTATCCTTTTTAAGTGCTAGGAGGACAGGGGAGGGGGCAGGTTGGCTGCATGCGCTCTCTGCATGTGATGCCCCATCCGACGACATCAGCGCTTCCCAATCTCTTAAGTTTCGAACTATGAATGCGATCCTTACGATTAGTGATGCTTGGCCGAATGTTGCTTTGGGCACCCGTCGTTCGTTGGTGGGGACATTTAAGTGAGCGAGCTGTTTACAGCACTTGGTTCTGAGCCTTAGAGAGGGGAAGGATTCTGGGCAAGAATGTGAGCAGTTTGTGCTTTTGCGTTTATGATCCCCCCCCCACCTCAACGCCATGGAACGTCTTGCTCTGTTTTGCACTTCGGGCTCTCTGACAGCAGGGTCAAGCGAGGCGTTGAGGAAAATTTGGAAATACGACCCCCCCCCCACCCTCCGCCGGAGGCCGAAGTCCATGAAACAACCCTCTTCAAAAGCCGAACTATGAAAAGGTTGAAAAGCTTGTTTAATTCTCCCCCAAAACTGCTCATAAAAAAGCCCTGCTACCCCACCGCCCACAAAAAAATTCGTTTAAGAAGTACAAAAGTGAAAAAGTCAAAGAATAATCATTATTGATGAGTCCTACCAAACGAGCAAACGAGAAACAGACCAGAAAACGACAAACTAGCCACTAAAAATGGCATACTATGACAACATCTGTTCTTTATTTATTTCCTCCACAAGACTTACCAAATTCTAGTACTACACAGATTGTGGTTCTCAATTTGCACGTAGCCCTTCAGTTGAAAGAAGCTTTTTAACCGCCTTCGCCAGCTGTGTGTTGACTGGACTTTGGCGTTGACCGTGGAGCAGCTTATTTACTATTGAAATTTGAACAAATATTCAAATGATTATAACTTTCTTCAAATATGACGAATTTTCAATCTGAAAGCAGATTTGGAAGTTTTGTGAAGAGCTTTTTCTAATCAGTACTGAAATTACAAAAGTTATAAGAAATAACAAATTTAGATCAAATAACGAGGAAAATTCGAGACGAGCACGAGTTTTTACACTTTCCGAAGGGCAACAACTCTTTATTGGGTCATTTGAAAGTTATATTGGGGCTTAGCAAAATTGTAGAAGATTTTTTCTTACCGACCCGTTGTTAAACCACCCTTCTTTTATACTCCGTATCGAATAAAATGGCTTCACGTTTTTTGGATTTTCGCAAAATTTTAACGAGGAAAATTTGTGATGAGTGCGAGTTTTTTTCACTTCCTAAAGCCATAACTCCGTTCAAACTCATCCAATCCGAAAAGTAAATACGCCATCATAAACTAGAAGATTTGCTCTATCAAATGCTTACTAGAACTGCTCCAAACGTCCAGTATTAAAAAAACGGCTACGTTGAGGATTTTCGCACGAGTACCGCCGAAAGGTACTTTTTCGCTACATTGGCACTATTTCAACGGCTGTATATCCTTTTAAGGGCGATTATGTACTAAAGTAAGAGCAGATTTGGAATCACTGCTTTTCTCTTTCTAAGAAAAGTGATTGATTAGCGTTTCTCAACTTTAAAGGTTACATGTTTATAAATTTAACCCTGAAGAGTCCGTTAACGCAATGTTGAATGGTGTACACCTCCCTGTAAATGCGCACGGACACTTTCAGAATTCTCTCGATTGTTCCTGAATTGAGGTTGTTTGTCCAAGGAGCCGTAGTTGAAGCGCGCGCAACAACTAGACCCTTTCTCGGATGCGCCGTGTACCTCACATCCCTTCAGATTCGGGGTCTTACTTGAAAGATGAAATATCTCTTGGAAAGCGTGCGAAATTCAGATTCTTTAACTTGTGTGGTGATAAAACACTGAAGTAACTAAGAATTACCGGACGCCTCAGAATCACGAAAATTTTGTGTGGGTGAAATATCATTTTCATTGGAAATCCTCTGGCCTGGCATCGACTCATCCTTGATATTTGTCTTCCGACGGTGATGATCCCACTGCATCAAAATGGCTCGATCTCTTCCACCCAGCGGGCCAATACGACCCCCCCCCCCTGCGACGTGTCGAGGATTCCTCAACGCACGCTTGACCCTGGTCTGAGCGCGAGCAGTATCCTCGACTAGATGGAGTCAGGAGTAAGCATGTTGAGTTTGGGAAAGTGCTAATGTCATGATGGCCAGCACGTCAACATCTTGCTGTGCAAACAGTGTTCGTAGGAAAATTGGCCATCGAGCACGCAATGTTTTGCGAATACAGGTACCGTTCCCTTCCCTCCTCCTCCCTCCCCCGTTTTTCTCAATGGAAAGCGGTCCTAGCGTGTAGGTTGAACTTCCTACTCCCAAACGCAAACTATGTCACCAGCGACTCCAGCAGCAGTCACTGACGGCTGAAATAAGTCTCGAACTCGGATTTCTGCCAATTGAGTGGAAAGTCTTGGAGATCGTCGGTTGACACCGAATTATGATTTTCTACCTTCGTTCATAAGATTGACAAGCAGAACAGGGGAGGGAATGGGTGCCACACTTTGAGGCGACTCGAAAAGGCGACTCACAAGCTCTCATTCGGTCTTCCACTTTCACCATAGTTGGATGGATTCAGATAAATTGTTCACTGCATTGGTGACGCATAGGTAACGCTAAAGCTCGACATTCATGATCAAACAACCTGCTGGCTTGGAGGTTAAAGCGAGAGATTACGATAAAGTCTGTGTGCAGCATGGAAGAACATGCACCAGTGGAAGCAGTAGTCGGAGCCAAAGGAATCGAGATGTGGCCTTTTTGTGACTAAAGGTGCGCTAGTTGCAGCGCCCTGGGGCTGCCAATCCTTTCTGAGCTCCGCCACCGCCTGTGCTCCGCCCCCAGCAGCATCCTTCGATTATCATTTTGATAAGGTATTCCACTTCGAGCGCGTATCCTATAACTTTCCCATGGAATGCGTTATCAATCAAAGCATGGCTTTGCTGGTATGATGGTGGCTATCGGTTTAACATGTGCAAACGACCTCTTAGTTGGTTGCTAGCTCGTCCATTATCGGAGGTCAACGGGCAAAGAAGGGGTCCCATTTTGCGCGTTTTGACGGATTTCTTTGCTTTTTTCGCCACTGGGGCATTATTCAGCATCTCCACTTCCACTATGAACCCATCCAATCCCATCGTAATCTCTTCTTTGAGCGACAATGAACTGGCGGAATTGTGGGAGCTGATATCAGTTTATATGATGGCGGTATATTCTCCCGAAGAACAGCCGATGCACGCTGAGCCAAGCACACGTAGGCAAAAATCAAACAAAAAGATAACGTAATTTCTTCGAACAACGACTAGGCGGCACCTGCGGGTTCGAAGAATTGGCTGAGAAGTCATATTCAATTTCGACATATTATGAATCTTGGTGCAGCATAGGAGGGGGTCTTGGTGTAAAGATGAATCATATATTGTCCTGATGTAAATCGGCGCAGGAACTTTTCGCTTTTCCCTCATATATCTCTGATCTCACGCTTCGCAGTGGTCACTACTATTCTTATTAGTGTGACACATTTCGTAGAAGAAAGATCTCGAAAACTTCGAAGGTTTGCGCCATGGACTAGCCAGTTTCATCAGATGTGGAGGTGCCCAAATTTCTATGAGAGGGCTTACATTTTGTGCGAAAAATGGCGAAGCTGAGCGAAACATGAGGGGAGGCATTTTGCAACACCCCTAAATAAGAGAAGATGCAAAGATGCACCGGTACAGTCTCTTACTTCATCGAATATGAGAGCGAGCGTTCTTGAAATGTTGGTTCAAGGAAGATAGGGGGCCATCAAAACTCGTGCCATATCACGCTCTGCCCTGAGCGGCAACCTTCAGCGGTTATAATGATGGTTCTGCAATCACCTGTATGAAACCATGCATTTCAAGGTCATTCCATGGCAGGTACACTTAAAAATACCGTGTGTAGCGAAGCCTGGCTTCATCAAAGAAGCAGTTTTAGTGTTATTATATGTAAGACTTCATGCTGGAACGATATCAAGAAGGCGTTCTCATTGAAGGATAAATTGCTGGTGAAAATTAGAACTTAAAGTTCATGGTGCTTAATCGATATATCGAGTCGAGTTTACCGAGTAAAGCAGAAGGAAAGAAATGAGCCCAATTCGCTTGGGATATTTGGCTGCAGATGTTCTCTGCGACCTGATAAGCATTCGTCTTGGATCAAAAGATTGTCCTTCGTCTAACTCTTTTGGCTAACTGCTGTTATATCTACTGCAGTCCTTTCGAGTACAGTCGGGAAAAGTAGAAAGGTAGGCATTTCCGGCAATCCATCAGGTAGTCCTATTGGGAATGCATGGACACGCAACAAAGCATTCCCTCCTGAAATCGTGTGATGTGCTTCTGTAGTAGTAAAGTATTCGTTTTGTAAAGTATTCAGAAAATAGCTCCAAGTGAAAATATTTTTCACCACCTGTCTCACTTTCGTATTATAACCAAGCTTTTTCAGCTTTGCGTTCAATGGAACTGTAGCTTTGACTGTTCGCATTTTGGAAGCGACGGAAATCTTGAAAATTCACATGGTCTCGATTATCGTCGACTCGGTGAAGTGACCTTGGAATGACAGAGTATAATATTTTGTGGGTTACGTCGTTGTTACAGAACACAAGAAGAGTTCATTCATTGCTCTTTCGGGCTGTCAACGGTTTGGTGGACAGTTTCATGTTATTGTCCGGTTTCCTAAGAGTTTTAATTATTTCTCTTCAGAGCGTAGTTGTTAGTGTTGATCTTTAGCCACGGCTCTACGTCATTAAATAAAAAATTTTCAGTCCTCAAGGATTTGAGTCACACTTATGATCCCAAATTCAACATAGCTACTATCGAATTGGGTCAAATGGTTCACCCTCAAACGGTACTGTTCCCTACCACTTCATTTATTTTTTGTTTATAGTCCCCATGTTTAGTACTCATAGAAACAGCGGAGTCATCCTAATGGATTTTTTTGCAGGTCACCTTGTCACTCGACTATACAGGTGAAATTAACGATAAAATGCGTGGTTTCTATAGAAGTACCTACAAAGACGAACACAATCAGGAGAAATTTCTAGCATCAACTCAATTTGAGGTAGCCACCATTTTCTTCTCACATTCCTTTTTTTGTCATTTGGAGCTGGCATCAAGCCAAGGCTAAGCTAAAACTGGTTCATTATGAAGCAACTGTGTGAATCTTAACTTTTACTTGTTTGCAGTCCACTTACGCTCGTTACGCATTTCCATGTTTCGATGAACCCATATACAAAGCAACATTTGATATTTCTATAGTTACTGATCCTGGAATGACCGCCATTTCTAACATGGTAAGCTTCATGCTTTCGTTTCACTTAGATGATTTTGAAGCAACATTATTGTTTAAAATGAAAAAATTCACATCTTCGAGAAAAAAATCATTCTAGCCTGTGGTTTCGGCCACTCCATGTGATTTCCATGGAGCAAAGAAGGTTTGGGTGAAATTTGATCGTACTCCTCAAATGTCTTCGTACCTAGTAGCGTTTGTTGTTGGAGAGCTCGATTATATCCAGGTAAAGATGAAAAGTGTTTGAATGTTCTTCACTCATTATTGTATTTGAATTTAGACTTCTTCAAAAAGCGGCACTATCATGAGAGTGTACACTGTTCCCGGAAAGAGAAGTCAAGGCACATACTCTTTGGACTTGGCAGCCAAGTTTGTTTGCTTTGAAACCCTTCTTAAAGAGTGTCTGGAGAATATTGAAATGATTCAGGGCAATTGACTGGTACAACGATTGGTTTGGAATAGACTATCCACTACCGAAGTGTGATCTCATTGCTATCCCCGACTTTAGCATGGGTTAGGAGATCTTTCACTTTATTGGTTTTTCTTATCGCCATCTATTTAAATTTGCTTTCGCTACATTTGCATATCAACAACAGTTAAGCTCAGCTTTTGATGACTCGCAATTTAGGTGCCATGGAGAATTGGGGCCTAGTGACATACCGAGAGGTAGCCCTTCTGATTGACCCGGCTAAGTCTTCAACTCGTCAGAAAGCACGTGTTGCTCTTGTTGTAGCTCACGAGCTTGCTCATTTCTGGTTTGGAAACCTTGTAACCATGGTAGGTTTGCCAAAATTCGAAGCTTGAGATATGGATCTCATTCTCTTTTTTGAATTGGCAACCGTTTTAGAAATGGTGGACGGATCTCTGGCTAAAGGAAGGATTTGCTTCTTTCATGGAATATCTGTTTGTTGGATATAACTGCCCAGAATTCAAAATTTGGGAACATTTTGTCAACGACGAGCTGGCTCAGGGCTTTGGTCTTGATGCTCTACGTAACAGTCATCCCATAGAGGTACTGTAAATGTTTTCTCTTCTATGAAAATTTTCAAAATTCCTTCCTTTTTTGTGTTAAAAGTATGCATGCGTTTCAGGTTGAAATAGATAATCCGTGTGTGAACTGGAGGAAATCTATGACAATATAACGTATGCGAAATCGAATGCCATTAACCGCATGTTGTTCTACTACCTTGGCGAGCCGACCTTCCAAGCTGGTTTACGTCTGTATTTGAAAAAGTTCCAATATGATAATGCCGTTACGCTCGATTTGTGGGAAGCATTAGGAGAGGCCTCTCAACAGGTTGGAAAATGTTGAAGTTCTGTAGGTTGAGCTTCGTTGTTCAAATAGTTTCTACTTAGGACGTTGTGAAACTTATGTCTGGGTGGACTAAGCAGATGGGCTATCCAGTGATCACAGTCAGCGACAAGCAGAAAGGAAATACGAGAATTTTATCCCTTTCTCAAAAACGTTTCATCGCTGACGGTGGTGAAGATCTCCAAAACTCGATTTGGCAGGTGAATGGTTTTTCTATAATAGAGTTAAGGCTCATATTTTATTTTTGCCCTTTTTAAAACACTTAAAGTGGATGCAAGGCATATTTTTTTAAGGTACCAGTGACTGTATGCGTAGGATCGAACCCGACAGAAGTGAAAGGCAAATTCCTTTTGGTCGACCGTGAACAGGATGTCGAAGTGCCGGACGTTGCAGAAGGAGAGTGGGTCAAGGTGAACATTTCGTTCATTTATGTTCCTGTTGTAACTTCGTAAAGCACTTAGTCCACAAACACAACATCTAGATAATATCAGCAACTAGAACTATGACAGACTTTTTTGATCTTAACAGTAAGTGCACCATAAGGTATCGTGGTGGCTAAGTGGTCCGTCCCTTGCGGTGCTCAATAGATTTAAAAGAATCAAGGTCCTTGACCAGCAGCTCGCTCACGTGAATCGTTCCATGGACTAGATGCGTGTTCGAGGCTTTTTACGATATTTTAAGAGGTTAGGCATCGCACTTTTCAGTGAGTTGCTCCATGGCCACCACTCTGCCTCTTCCCATAACTTACAACTCTATGCAAACCCTATGAAGCTGTTCAGCCTGTTTATGTATTGCTATTATTCTTGAAGGAGGGTTCCACAGTAAGGTCAAAGCTCGAAAATGTGGAACTACCTAGTGGGAAAACAGGCCCCCCCCCGCGCAATCAGCGAAGGATGTGCTCCGGCGATCTGACAGTCCCTTCCCGCACCACTATCGCCTTTTGCTGCTGACTGAGCTTCTAGCCATTTAGCCAAGAGAGTCAGGTTGAAGAGGACAGCACCGATGAGAGTTATATCAGGCTGCTTTAACACGTTGACGACAAGCTGACGCGCATGCGCGTCAAGAATTTCGCACCGCATCGGACATTCTGACGCGCAAGCGCGTCAAGTCTATGCTACTCACTTTTATCGTGCTTGCGCTCCTTCCTCTCGGGTTTCTTGTATTCATTCTATAGATAATACATTAGCATGACTATAAACCGCTTGGCAGCTAGAGTGGTCAAGTATCTTTTGATTAAGCAAAGATTTTCCGAACGCACAAAACTTTCGTTCCGATTCTTTCTTAACACATTGGCGACCAAGCAGTTTTTGGGTGTTCCCGAAAATTGCGTCCTAATGCTGAAACGCTTCCATACGGTGTACATACCAAATCAATGAGAACACAATGCGGAAACTGCTGAAACATCATTTGTCTCGTACAAATGCTTAATGGCTGCAAACCAAGCAAAAATCTCCCCGTCCCGCAAAGGTGAAACTTCGGAACGCTCTCGGAAAATTCCAATTTTCCACTGTAGAATCCACAAATGAGGTTGAACACAAATCTCTTTTTTGCCAATTGTTGTATCATTGAGCTAGCTAATAGCATACAAAAAGGCAGCTTTCTACATCAAGAAAGAACAACCTTATCACTGAAGAAGCAATTCCAAGCAACCCTTCTGTAAAACTTTCACTGTGAAAGATGTTCAAAGAACGTGGCCATTACAAGTTTGACAACGTATTCCGGGTTAATATAGCACCGCTCAAAATTTGGAATATGCGCAAAGGAATAAAATTCAAGGGGTGTCGCCGGCATCGGGCGACACAACCAAAAAATGCACAAAACTTTCGTTGTCGATTCTTTCTTAATAATACTTTCACTGCCGTCAATATTCTTATGAAAGATTTTAGAGTTAGTTGAAACAAAACTCTGTGAGTTTCAATATATTTGATTTGATGGGAGTACTTAGATATAAATGCTTTTAATTTCATTCGCAGCGAAAGTGATGTTTTTTTTTACTTCTTCGTGGTTATTATGCGCTCTTCTAAACGAAAACCTTTTGCTACTTATATACTTAACCTTTGTGCGATCGTCCTTGCCGAAATAGTCCTATGAAATTCAAGTTATTGTGCATTTTTAACAAAAAATAAGCGTAAGTAAGGTGAGGACGGCGCGGTCGCAAAATCGCTCCTGTCCCACGAGGTGCAAAATGCCAAAACATGCGATGTCGTCAACGTGTTAAGTAGTTCTATTTCTCGGGTCCTGGGCCGTTTCTCATAGTCTTTTGTTCATCCCTGCGCCACTGACCACCTCTACCTTGATTCTAGTGGACTACTTTTTCATCGTAATTCTCACCTTCAAGTAATGCTCACAATAATTATCTATAACTTCGTTTTAACTCTGTGTTACAGCTGAACGCTGGAGCAACTGGCTTTTATCGGGTGGACCACAGTCAAGAGATGCTGAAGGCTATGATTCCTGACATTTCCAGCTGCAAAATGCCTCTTCTTGATCGTTTTTCAATCGTTAATGACTTATTTGCTCTTGTGAGTTCACGCATTTAGATCGTGCGCTGCTTTTTTTAAGACGCTCTATTATCTAAAAGCTGTTCAGGTTCAAGCTGGACGCGCGCGAGCTTCGTCTTTCCTTTCAATTTTGGGTGCTATGAACAAGGAGGAAGAGTACATTGTTTGGCAGTCATTGGCTGCTGGAATTGATGATCTCTCGAACGTGTTACATTACGCTCCAAACGCTACATTAGCTAAACGGTTGGCTTTACTAGAAGTGACCTACTTCTTTTGTTTAATGAGCTTTTTTTAGGTTCGATGCTTTCGTAATAAGGTCTATGGGAAGGATTGGAGAGAAACTTGGTTGGGACTGTCATGAAGGCGAAGGTTAGTCACGAGAGTATTTCATCCATTCTCTAAGTATTCTTTTGCAATCCTGACCTGCCTGAGGGTGGTTTTCATTGTTGGGTTTGAAATAATTGAGT